CAGAGAGTCTGGAAGACATCAAATGAAAAGGAAGATATGTTTCTTTTTCTGAGAACATATTCCAACCAAAATAAAAAAAAACCAGAAAACCAAAAAACCTAAACAACAACAACAACAAAAAAACATAACTCCACGGGAAAGCACATCAGATGAGGAAGCCTAGATATAACTTTGCCTTTCCTTCCTGCTCTCTTTCTACATATTCCATTTCTTTTCATCCTACTCCATTGCTTTTCTGTCTGCCACTTTTTTAATTCCTGTTAATCTGTTACTTTCGAAAAAATCAACTAAAGGAAAAGAAAAGCAGATGCACTCAGACTTTATTCCCATAGTTTTATCTGTTTTATGAATTTTGAATGTGAATGGAGATTGAAACTAATCAACAGATGGTTGGAAACATTAATATTCATGAATTCTGAAATCCCATATTACTTTGCCAGGTATTGTTTGGATGTAAAGAATGTATGTGTAGTCTAATCTCCACGTTTGGCAAAGAAATCTAGCAGTCTCTTTAGCTGGCCCATGCCTGATGAAATGGACATTTTGGACAATAAACTGTGGTACATGCATGTGTCCTTTGAAAAGAAAAAAAAAAACCAACCTAAAACCTGACAAATAACTTCATGAATTTATAAGGCCTTCTGCTTGAAAATCAGCCAACCCAAAACTTCAGTTTGATGAGAGATAGTAATAAAATATTTTTAGTGTTGCTATAAGCTAAATATTATTTTTGATTTGCAGCTCCACAACCCAAAGTAAAGCTGAGGTACTCACAGCAATGAACCAGTAAAGAAATGTGAAATTAAGTATAAGTAGTTATGAATTTAAGATTTCCCTTGGGCAGACATTGATGTTTAGCAGCAATCTGTTTTTTATAAGTAACAAGATGCTGCCACCTTCTGAAAAAAGCTCAGCATGACTACAAATGCCATCTCTCTCACAAGGCCAGGGTAACAACATACATATTTCGAGCCAAGAAAATTAGGCAACAAGTTCTCCTCCACCATCAATACAAAAAAAAAATCTGTTGCACTTAGAAATTCTTGCTCCAGAAGCTAATCTGAGGGCAGTGTCAATGCTTCCACACAAAAATGTAAGCATGTCATCTTTATCCTAACTTAGGATAAGGACCCTACTAATTTTCAACCTGGTAAATGTGACACTGAAGGAAGACAATAGGACCGTGACCACCTTTTAGCCAAATCCTTCTTTACTTTTTAAATGCTCACCTTCTTGAAGAAGAGTCTACTCTCCTTGAAGATACCTTCCAACCACAGCTTCCTCACTATAAAGCATCAGAAAGTGATCATTTTTCTTTGTGTTTTCTGCAAGAACCCATGGCTTCAGTGTCACCAGCACTGACAACCAGGGATCAGCTTTCTGGTAGAACTGGACACAACGAGGATGGTGGGATGAGCGACCCTCTGTGCCCTGTGAATGGGCCCCCACTACCCAACACTGGCTGTGTGCTGATCCAGAAGGGGGAACTTCTGCTCAAACAGAGTAGTCCCAAATCTTTGATGATTCTGAGAAGGGATGACCTGGTACATTTTTTCTTCTGCCAGCTTCAAAGTTGTATTTGTTTTGGTTTAGGGTAAATTTGGGAGAAAATTTTTGAGTTGATTTTTTAGAAAGTAATGTGTTTGTTTTTGTCTTTTTTTTAATTGGTTTGGGAAAAGATTTTTTTGGGGAAAAATGGAAAAAAATTTTTATTTAATAAGTAAAGTATTTATGAGTGTAAAAAATGAATAATATTAAATAATAAATCTTTTTATTGTTTGAAGAGATGGTAAATTTAGAAAAGGTTTTTTGTGGGGTGTAGTTTGGTCTGTTTAGTTTTTTGTTAGTCCCTCCAGTGCTGGAAAGTGTTGAGACTTAGGTTTTGGTGGGTGTGAGCTTTTGGTGGTTTTTGGGTTTTTAGTTTAGAGTGGGTTTGAATAGATTCAAGAAAAAAAGAAAAAAAAAATAGTTTGGGGAAATTTTTTGTTTCAGTTAAAAATTAACTAAAAGAAAAGGAGAGTTTTGTTTAGCTGTTTCTTTGTGTTGTAGATAACATAGTTTAGAGAAGTGTGTGGGGGAGTGAGTGTTGCTTTTGAAAATAAATTGTGTGGGTTTTTTTTGGTTTTGTTTTTTTTTAAATTAGTTTTAAAGGTGTAGAACTTAATAACTAGTATAAATAAAATAGATGATTTGGGATATAAGTATTATAAAGTTATTTTAGGATATTTTATTTTTTATTTCTATATTGTTAACTTATTACTAAAACTAATATTTATTCTAATTTTATAAACACATATATTATATATATGCTAATGTAGAATGATAGTGAAAAGTTTATATAGTAATTATAGTGAAATGTTTAAAAGTAGAAGTTAGTGAATTTTTTTCTCTTTTGTTAATCTAATACTATTATTGTACTAAGTAAAAGTTGTATGTTGAATGTAATTTTGATAGTAACTTTTAAAATGTGCTAGTTTTACATTAGTTAACATTTAATAAAAAAACCTCTGTTCCCAGAGATAAAAATAATCACAGAGATAAATAAAAACAACTTTTGCTTTTAAACAGCTCATCCTTAAAATAATACCCCGTAAGTTAACGTAACCCATTAATTCAACTGCACAAAAGCTATAAAAATAAAAAAAAAATCCACAATTATAATTTTTTTCCCAAGCAACTACTACTCATAAAAATAAAAAAAAACACAGAAAACCTATATATATATGTTATAAAGAAGTCTCTGGAACATAACAAGAAAAAAATCCTCTCCCTAAAAGAACTAATAATAAATAGTTAAAATAGTTTTAAAACTATTATTAATTATTATTATTTTTAACTAATTTAAAATCCCAAGTCTTGTCTCTACATTATCAATTAAAGAAAAAAGTTAAGAAGAAAAAAGAAAAGTATTCTAAAAGTTTTTGTCTAATTCTTCTTATTCTTTTAGTTATATTAATAAAGTTTTCTTCATACCTTTTAAGTTTTAAGCCTATTTTGTCCTCCTAACCCATATCTCATAACAAAAAATAAGTACACCAGTGATTTTAACCAACACTAAACCCACCACATTATTTAATACGTTAACCAAGAAACTCAAATTAACAAACCTAAACCACTACAAACGTGCATCATGCTGGCATGAGCTTTATCTTGGTTTATATTTTGGAAGCAGAAGTAGTATCAGAGGGTACAACAGCAGAGCAGCAGCAAACCAGTGTCACCTCTAGCAAATCAGTACTTCACAGTCAGTACGTCTGTTATGGACAGATTCATTCTATTCATAGAATAGAATATTCCAAAATATTTCTAAAAACAAAATTATGGCATTTTAGCTTGATTTTCAAAGATTATATCAACTTACTGTCTCCTCCACCTTCCTATAATATTTGAATGCATTGATCCGTTTCAACTCAAATTGATGGGAAATTGAAAGTGCCAAAAATATAATTTATAAAAATTTAGAAGACCCATAGAGCACATAGCCAGAGAAAAGTGATCTTCAACAGTTGCACTGCTGACAGGACAACATGCTCCAATGAATCAGTGAACTACAGTTCTGTGCTTTGGGAGAGGAGGAGGAGAAATCGTAATCCAAACTACAAGCTGCATGTGAATCTCCTGGGCAACGCCCGAGGCTCCATGATGACAGAATATTGAAGTGGATTTGTTTTGGAGGAAATTCTGAGGTATGCTGGGAACATGGCTTAAAACAAGTCAAAAATACTAAGGAATACAAAGATGTCTTAAAACCATTCCTATTCTGTCTTTTTTTTGCTACTTATTCTAAGCATCCTAACATAATAACATATTTGATCAGTTATTAAGCTTTCCCCAGTAATTTAAGAAATAAATGAGTCTGCTTAAAGATGCTTGGAATGAACCAAATGAAAATGAAAACACAGAGCTATTATTTGATCTGTTATGGCATCCTTTGGTACGCAGCTCAAAACCCATCACCACCTCTTTATATTTACTGGCAAGTAAGTTTTCAGTGCTCGTAGACAGGTCTCAATGTGCCATGCTAGCACTTTGAGGCTCCATGCATCTGACAAAAAATAACGAAGCAGATGTTTTGAAGGACTGCTGATTTTCAGGGATAATACTGTTATTAATTTGTGTTACAGAATCAGCACTAATTACAGAAACAGCAAAAAAAAAGAAGCTGTGACAGATGTAAAACTGATTAATTTAATTGCAAGTATTTCTCTGAAACGCATTTAGCAGAGACTTCAAAAACTTGCACGGGGAGTTCTTCACCATTGTTTTGGGTGGTTAAGATACTATCTGGGATTTTGTTTGCAGGTCAAGATGTCACGGATTTGCGCATTATGTTTTTGACTACTGGCTCTATTTTTTCTGTAATTTCTGAACAAAAATGCCATGCCTGGGGTGCAGTCTTCCACAATTTCTTTTTTTGTCTCTTTATTTGTTTGTTTCCTCAGGTTCACAGAACCACCAGCAGCTTCAGTGACTGCCATCCAATCCTAATTATTTGCAGGTGTCAGCTCCCTGTGTGGAGTCATAGAATTGTCGAGCCACAGAATGTTAAGGGCTTCCACAGAATGGAAGGGACCTTAAAGGTTTTCTAAGCCCAGTCCCCCTGCCATGGGTAGGGTCACCTTCAACTAGACTAGATTGTGCAAGGCCTTATCCAATCTGGCCTTGAACACTTTCAGGGATGGGGCATCCACAGCTTCTCCGGGCAACCTGTTTCAGTGCCTCATCACCCTCACAGCAAAGAATTTCTTTCTGATATACATCTTAGAATACCTATTTTAGTGCGAGCCCCTTACTCCCTCTCCTATCTCGGCGGCTGCTGAAGGAATGTCCCTGTGGGGGGCGGTCCCGGGGCGGGGCCCGCCGGAGCTGTTCGGGGCGGCGGTGCTGAGCGCGGCCGCTCCGCCTGGTGCAGCCGGGCGGGGCCGGCGCCTCCCCGCGCCGCGCTCGCTGGGGCTGCCCCGGGGGAGCCGCTCCCGCCGCCGCCGCCGCCGCCCGGGGCCATGGCGGCGCTGGTGCTGCTGCTGCTGGCGGCGCTGGGCGGGCGGGCCGTGCTGCCGGGCGGGCGCTGCGCGGCGCCGCTGGCCGACCTGCGCTCGCAGATCTCGGGCGTGGAGACGCTGCTGGAGGAGTTCCGCCGGCAGCTGCAGCAGGAGGAGCCGGGACCGCCGGCGACAGCGGGCGGAGGAGGGGGCGGCGAGGAGCGGTGCGGCGGAAGCGGCGGCTTCTCCGCCAGGCCCGACTCCATCATCCGCACCAAGGATTCCATCGCGGCCGGCGCCACCTTCCTGCGGGCGCCCGGCGCCGTGTCGGGCTGGCGGCAGTGTCTGGACGCCTGCTGCGCCGAGCCGCGCTGCACGCTGGCCGTGGTGCAGGGGCCCGGCCGCCCGCGGGGCACGGCTGCCGAGCCGGGCTGCTACCTCTTCAACTGCACGCACCGCGGCCGCCCCGTCTGCCGCTTCGCCCCGCACCGCGGCTACAGCTCCTACAGCCGCCGGACCGCCGGCATCGCCCCGCCGCCCACGGGTAAGCGGCTTGCGCGGCGGGAAAGGCGGCAGGGAGATGGCGGCGCTCGGCGCGGGGGCGGCAGGGCCGCGGGGACGGCAGGGCCGCGGAGCCGCTGCCGGGGAGCGGGCGCGTCCCTGCGGCTGACTCGGGGCCGGGAACCCGCTCCCGGGTCTGGGGGCCTCGGCGGTGGGAGGACGGGCGAGGAGAACCGGGCTGCGCCGTGCCGTTCGGCGGGGTTCCCTCGGCCGGGACAGGCGGCCCGGCCGTGCCCGAGGGAACCTTACCGAAGTGTATAAATACCTTATGGGCAGGACTGTCCCAAGAGGATGTTTCCAGGCTCTTCTTGGTGGTGCCCAGCAGTGGGACAAGAGGCAGCGGGCAGAAACTGATGCACGGGAAATTCCAGCTGAACATGAGGAAGAACTTCTTTACTGTGTGGGTGACAGAGCATTGGAACAGGTTGTCCAGAGAGGATGTGGAGTGTCCTTCACTGGAGATACTCAGGAATGATCTGGACACAATCCTGTGCCATGTGCTGTGGGACGATCCTGCCTGAGCAGGGAGGCTGGAGCAGATGACCCACTGCCGTCCCTTCCGACCTGACCGATTCTGTGAGGGCTTTGGGGGTGTTTGGGCTTGGGGAAACCCATCCCTTAACACCTCTGCCTCTGCAGAGCCCTTGGTGGAGCACTGTGCAGCCAGCTGGTGGCTGAGAGCCAGACAGTGGGATGTGCATGTTCACTGGCCCCACACTCCCTGGGCAATCACAGAAGTCTCAGCTCCCCAGGAACTGTGCGTATTGGGCACCTTGGAAAGCATGAAGTGCTGGTCCCAGTTATGCCATAACCTGGTGCATTGCCTGAGAGCAAGCACATGCCCTCTTGAGGGTGCTGTCCAAATGTCATTGCCTAAGACAGCTTTTTACTCGCTTAAATCAAGATATTTCATGCTTAAGAACTCGAGAGCTAGACTGAAGAAGACAAGGATACCTCATCAGTAGTCCAGATGTAGCATGGACATTCTTCACAGGTACCTCTGGAAACTAGGCCACATCAAAAGCAGCAGTTCAACTCCAAGGCAAATTTAAGAACAATATAATCCAGAGCAAATGGCTGTAGATGAAAAAAAATCTGGTTTTCTAAATTTGGAGTCTGTTTCCTAGCACCTGATTCAAAGAATATATTTGCCTTCCCCCACCTCCTGTTATTAAACAGTCTCCTCCTGACTAATTTTGACTTAATTTCATTATCTAATGTGGACAATACTTTCCCAAATGTCATCTGCATCTTACGCAGCGAAAGATCTCATCTGAAGTAAATTAGTTACTGCATGTAACAGAAAGAAGACCTGGTGTTGGTATGGATGAAAACAGTGGCCAGATGTCCCTGCTGTTACTGCTGTCTTGGGAGGGGAGACCTCAGGCTTGAGTTCTATTCAGTCCTGTATGTTTCATGAGAATGCCAATGTCAATGAGAATCTCCTGCAAAAATGAGAGAGCAGAGGCTTGTTTTGTAGGGGCATTATGATGCCTAAATATTTTTTGCAAAGTGCATGGGCAGGTACATTAGAGTGCTATAAGGAAGGATCTTACAGCATTATAGATGAGGCAAGCTTAAGGTACCAGAAAAACCCAAGGTGTGATTTTGATATTTTCAACAGAAAGAGTATTAGTTCCATGGTATTATTTATGTAGTAGCTATAGGGTAATTGTATTTCATAAGCCTGTATGCACTTGCATGATAGAAGGCTTAAGATGAGATTTTACATCAAAGTCACAGAGACTTAGGCTTCATTTTGAAGTGCCTTAATTCTAATAAAACTTGGAATTAATTTAGAGTGCAGTTATGGCACAATGTAAATAATATATTGTACAAATGATGCTCTACCTATTAGAAATCTTGAATTTCTTTAATTCCTTGAGTTCTTGAATTCTGGAGTTCTTAAATGTTTTGCCTTTTTGGCAGCTTTTCTGACTGCTAGCAGTGGACATGCAAGGCAATTTCACTTCCTAGTCTGCAAATTGCTCTGTGTCCTGTTGGTTTTATTTAAAAGTCTGCCTTGTGGGTGATGGTGGTATTGGAAACAGGGGATTATGATTTCTTAATGCAATTACACTGGAGCTGAAGCAAAGCCACAAAAGAGAATGAACTTTTATTCAAACATCTGTCAGATGTGACAGAGACCAGGAGAGATAAAATTAAGATTGAATTATTTGCTGTGATGTTTTGTTACCAGTGCATTCTTGAATTACATTGAAAAAAACAATCTGGACAACAGGATGATGAAGGCACATCTCTTTTCCCTTCTGTCACCCCATGAATGAGTTTAGGAAATTTAGGACAGAACTTTTCATTTCAAGATATTTTTCCATGAGAGGATCACATGTTAGCTGCTGCTTTTTCTTTTTTTTTTTCTTTTTTTTTTTCTTTTTTATTTCAGAGTACTTTGTTCTTGAGTCTTCCACTGTTCTGTTTTTGATAATACCAAACCAACATTTGCCCACAGATGTGGTGCCCTCATAATTCCAAAATATTTTTGTGCATTGGGATACAGTGATCTGAGATCACTAGTGGTGAGCAATGGGAGGATTCAACATCAAGGTAAACTAATACCAAACACATTCAGGAGTTGGCAAAGCCTTCATGCAGAAAACTAGCTTGAAACTTCATTACTGGCAGGACAAGTCTGTTAAAAGGATGGAGGGAGTAGAATAAATAAAAAAGCAGGATTAAAAAAAAACTTACTGTGTTTGCTCCCAAAGAAAAAAGTGTTTCACCCCTTTTTCTAGGATGCAGCTAGCTCCAGCTTCTCAGAGTGTTGACCAGGTATTTCAGTTCCATACTGCTTATTTAAATTCAACTTAAATGGAAGTTGAAAACAGAAGTTAAGAGATAATTTTTCAGCTGACCTGTGGCTGATAGTGCTTTTTTCCTGTGAGTGGTGGCTGCAAGTGGCTCCTTGGAGCATGCATCCAAAGAGTTTGCCTCCCTGTTTTTTTATGCTGACTTCTTATTCCCCAGATTTGGAGATGTTCCGCTCTCTAAGGATAACGTCTTCTATTGCTTAAAACTTCTCTGTGGAAAAAGAATCTTCAGCTCAATAGACTGTCTCCTCCCATGCCATATGTCTCTATCAGGCCAAATCTATATTTTTGCCATTGATTTACCTTTCTGAAGATGGTCTGGTAGCTTACAAGCAAAGGATGATGCCTCCATCCTTTGAGACCAGAGGTCTGTGTGGTCCCTCACTCATCCATTACAAAGGGCTGGCATGAATTTCTGTGACTGACTCAATGTGAAGTGGTCCTTCATTGCAACTCATGCTGCTGGAGTATAAAGTTAGTCCAGGAAGAGAGTATCCTCATTGCTTAGGGGAACTGGGGCTTGTCTCTGCCCCTGCAGGGCATTGATCAAGTCATTTAAACCAGACAGGTATGAAATCCTTTTCCAAGGCAGAACCAGAAGATTGGGCTGTGCTGTTTGAGACCCAGGTCAGTCTCTTTTTGACAGTCACTTGTAAAGTTAATTGTGTGAAGACTGTACAACTCATAATAGCAAATAAAAGTTTCCCTGGCACCATAATGATGGTGTTTATTAATGATTAGTTTTGGGGTTTTATTAACAATGAGTTTTGGAGGTTTTTTTGCACTTGGATGTAGCATGCTGGGCCTTGATGGTCTGGCTGGGTGCTACCTCGGGATCTTCTGTGAGAGGTCCTCAAGAGGGTGACAAATAATCAAGGGATGGGCACGATTCAGTGACCCCAAAAGTAAAAGTCTTAAATATCAAAACAACAAGCATAAGTCAAGCAACAGTATAGGGTGCACCAAAAAGGCAAGGGCCAGGGTAGGTTACAAACTTATATAAGGTAGGTTAGGGATGGAGTCTGAGGGAAAGGATCCAATAAAAACCAGCGATTAGCAATATATAAAACATTGCACCAAATTCTAACCAATAATAACAGAGAAACTATAGAACTTTCTAGTACTATTAACATATAACTTTCCAGGGGACATTGAGGGTGTGCTTTTGCTTACCCTGTCTTAAGGAGATCCTTCTTTCAAGGGCCTGGGGCAAAGTCTCTTTCCAACCCTTTGCCCTGGCAGACTCCAATACTTGGATGTTGTTTTTTATACAAAGTTGGTTTTGAGAAGCGAGTGTATGTATACAAATTAGGCAAAGCTTCCTTTGTTGTCAGATGAGCAAGAACTGTTTCATAGTTTCTATTATTAGACCTGGTTTCAGTTACTTGTATGTTTTCCTAACTTTAGGCATTTGCCTTGACATTTTCTATGCCTGACCTACTACTGAAAAAAACAAGAAATAAGAATTTCGCTGTTTAGTCAGAGATAAACAGTGTCCCACTGCTCCCATGAATTCCAAGGCTTCAAGCGCGTTCATGATACTGTTGAGGAGCACATGCAAGGAAGATTCCCCACACTGATGGGGAAACACCTTTCCTTGTGCAGCTCTGCCTGCACAGAGTGCAGTTACAACCTTGATTTCAGTAATTGCTCTTCTGAGCATAACAACAGTATCCTTTACAGGGAGTTTTCTCCTTTGCAGAGGTTGAAGAGCAGAGAGCACCCCGGCACTTCAGTGTGCCCAGAGAAGGAATGAGACTTGAGTGGGAAACTGTAAAAAGATAAAATCTTGTGGCTAAGGTTGTCAAATGCTGACTTGTTGAACCAGATTTTTATCCCTCTCTCTTCTCTGATCTGTCCAAAGGCTGCAGAAGAAGTGACTTAAACCACTTCTGACAGGCGGTGTCACCTAACAGAACTTCACTTTTGTTAGTCTAACCCAAAAGCTTGGGGTCTGATTGGCAAAAGTACTTGGCACTCACAATTTTAACCAATAAGGATTGTAATTTGAATATAGCAAAATTCTGTAAATCCTAAATATTCTGAAAATCAAGTTTTCTATGTCTTAAATGAAGCACTTAAAATTGGTAGTCTCTGATGATTTTTAATGATCATGTACACTGCTTCATCAGGGTGCCACCGTATGCTAAATAAGTCTTTCATTCCTATAATGATGTATTATAAATAGGGACTAGAAGCCTACTGAATTATGCAGTGTACTATAAAAGGTATAAAAAAATGTGCTGTAGCTACCATCTGTATGTAAGTCATATTTAAAACTATTTTCCTTAGTTCAGATTTAAAAAGTACACTGATGCTAATAATCCTGTTTGTTGTATTGCTGAAACATCCAGGTACCTAGTGAGGTTTTCTGTGCCATGTGCTTCTAATGTTAATTCCTGAAGACATCATAGAACAGTTAACTAAGATTGAAGCAGATACTACTTTGCTTAACAAAATGCGTGCTAATGAGCATGTTTCTCTTTCACTAAGTTGCACAGAGGTGAAACAATGCCTTAACCAAGAAAAAAAAGGTGTTTCATATAAATAATCATTCAGCCTCCCCTCATAAAGAACTGATCTTCTCTTTTTTTATTGAAGAAGAAGAATATGATGAGCCTCCACAGTGTAAGGCAGGCCAAGACATTGTGCTGCAGTCACCTGTGGACTGGGTGCTTTTGGATGGACGAGAAAGTTCCGATGACCATGGAATTGTGCACTACGAGTGGACACTGCTGCAGGGTGACTCATCGGTTGAAATGCAGGTACATGTGCAGTCTCCTTTGTGGCCACTTACTTCCAGATTGTTGTGTTCAAGTTTTAAATGTACAGCTAAAAATATTAAATATATTCAAATCTGTCTACCAGCACCAAAGTTAGGATGCCTGTACAACTCCAACATTTGTTTCACAGAAATGTAGAGCAGCTCAGGTTGGAAGAGACCTCAAGAAATCATCTGGTCCAACTGTTGTGGGACAAGGAGCCTCAATGAGATTATTTTATCTGTCCAATCCCATCTTGAAGACCTCCAGTGAAGGAGACTACACTGTGTCCCTGGGTAGTTCCATTGATTATTTCTAGTGGCTTACACAGTTAATCTCTATCCTGGATGGCATGGGACAGCCAGCAGCAAACAAGTAGATGATAATTCTCCACTGTATTTGAGCTCTGCTTTATTTGTACTCACTAAACTTGGTTTTCAGCTTCTGTCACCCCAGTTAGAGACCCCTCAGTAATTCAGTTACTAAAAATAATAAGGGATTTTCACCAACAGTCTCCTATCAGTGTTTATGGAGAAGGTACAAAGAAACATGATGAAGACCTTATGAGATATTTTATCCATACATTTTCTGCTGCACTTTGGTTTCAGATTAAAATTACCTATGAAGAGAGGGATTATTAATTTTAGTCTTTTTTGTCAGTGCTCTAGGATCAGCAGCAAAAGAGAGAAAGAAAAAAATGTCTCAATTCCACAGACTCTACTCATAGTTTGTTCACAGCCTACAACATCCAAGACACACTGGGAACTCCACCTAGAGCAGGAAGGATATGTAGAAGTGAGAGAGTGTGAACCAAAATGAAGCTTTAAGAATAGTTGCTAGATATCTAGACAAAAGGCACACTTTATTATCAAAGACTTGTTAATCTGACCCCTTGCAGCATTCTTTGCTTTAAAGAGCAGTTAAATACTTTTAAAATTAATCTGTGATTTAGTAACATAGAGTAAAAAAAATTAGAATTAAATACAAACATTTAAAGTTTATATTTTTAATATTATTCAAAGTCACTTTACAAAATAGAGACAAGTCTTATAGCCATTCAAACTTGTAAAATTCATGTTAACCTTGGTGGCTTCTTTGTATTTATTAACAGAAAATGAATTTGACACGCATTTATGCTTAAATAAATACTTCTCCATTGTGTTCAAATGAGCAGGGATTTCTGCTACAGATATGTTCCCTGGTGATTAGCCATGATAATTTAAATTTTAGAGTTGAATTAATAACTGTGATTTTTTTCATGCATTCTTCAGTTGAGTCTTTAGTGCCTTGGTTACTGCCCTGGAGTTACTGGATTTCGTGTCATTTATTCTTTGAGAATAATGTATGAATCCATAGCTACAAGGGAGAATGGAGTGTGTTTAAATAAAAGACAGCTGTTGCATTGCTCTTACGTAGCAAAGAATAAATAGAAGGCAGAGGAGAGGGAAGGACTTCTATAAAGAGATCTTATACTGTAGAAGGAAGCCATTTTTTTTTCCTATTGTGACTGATTGTTGCTTTTTTAGACTGATTGCTACCCCTACTCTGTACAGCTGCACAGCTCTTGGACACTTAGGGATGGTAATGGGTTGGGGCTTTTTTAAAATACTGATTATCTGTTTTGAGCCAAAGTTTCTGTGTAAGCAGATACAGGCCAGCATTCTTCAGGGTAGCATGAAGATAAAAAGGAAAGCCCAGAGGTCACTGGGAGGAGTGGTGGCATATTCAGAAGTCAGTGGCATTTCTCTGTCTCTGCACTGAGAAGAGGCTTGGGCTCCATGGCTCATGAGTTTTAAATACCACATTTGCTCTCCCTGCAGTCACAGTGAACAACAGCAGGTGGTTTTTTTAGAGCATAATAATGTCTTTAACACAATAAAGAATAAAATACTAAGGGGTCATATGCTCTCTCAGGAGGTACTCAACAGTCTGATCAGATAACGGAGTGCATTCATGTAAATAGAAAAGGAAAGAAATTTCAATTAGGAAATTTTCTCACTAAGAGAAAAAATGTGTTTATCAATAACTCTTCTGTAATGGAAGGTCTAGGACTCTGTGACCATATTAATTAAAAATTCTTGTTCTGTTTCAGGCATGAAAATTTATTTCTGTGGATCTATGTTATATTGTCTACAGACTAACTTGATAGAGAGCAAAAAGCCAATAATTTACTGGGTATCCTCTAAAATTACATTTCTAATTAGTCAAAAATTGAGTTAAATGTATGTGACCATGTGTTCTCCATTTGTGTGCTGAGATCCACAGCTCCAGGTAACTGCGTAGATAATGAAAACACTACCTGGATGTTGTGGGTTTTTTACAAATGGATGCAAAAACAAAAAAAAAAAAGAGATCAAATGTTCCATGCTGAAATACATGCTTGAATAGGCTGACTAGACTGAAGGAAGTATTTAATCTGCATGGTGAGCTCCTTATTCCTGGAAAGTCATGGATGGATCCATTGTACCAATATGTTTTGCTTTTTTTACTGTGTGCCTTTACTCAGGTACCACAGCCAGGAACACTGAAACTGTCCCACATGCAGGAAGGTGGGTATATTTTCCAGCTAACAGTGACAGACACTGCAGGTCAGCGGAGCTCTGACAACGTCTCTGTGACTATTCTGCCCATGGTTCATTCTGCAGCAGGTGAGAAAATGACTGGAGCTGTTGCCTCTGTGACACCCAGGGTGTGGTATTCAGGTTAGAGCAAGGGTCTTTGATAAAGATAAAAATGTTAATCTCCATTTTCAGTGTTTTATTTTGCCCTTGTTCATTACATAATGACATCTCTTTCAGCTTTGAATCACTTTTTCAAACTGAGGAAACAAGCAAGCATCACTTGCCTGTTAGAGCAGTAATACTTTCAGGCACTGAATGTTTGTCCTTTTATTGCTAATAAGCATGCAGGGTTGGAAGAGTGAAATATTGACACAGGTATCAGGTGCATTGTAACAGTCAGATGGTGTGGGCAACATGACAGGGAATTTATATGCTATGGGGAAGACCCAGTTAAAATTACTTCATAGTGTGTTTGAGGCAGACTAATAATAATACTGACCTTCATCTTTGGTCTGAAGGTTGGCATGGTTTTTTGTTTCAGTGCATTTAAGTTTTTCCATCTGATGGTTATTATTGAAGCCTTAATGGTACTGGGGAAGCTGAAACTGGAGCTGACCCATCATTTTTAAACTCTGAGCTTCAGAAACATATAAAAAGTAGAAAGTAAGCTAGATTTCAGTGGCTGTCAGTCCTGCTTTTAAATGTAATAACTTCTAATTACATTGTAATTAAGAACATGCTAATGCAGATCTGCTGCTCTGGCACAAAGTAAAAGTTAAATAGCATTATCTCCATGTTCAGCAGAACCAGTAAAAATCTTGCTCTGCACCAGCACAATATCTCTATGTGAGAGGGTAGTCCCTGTGGCAATAAGCTGTTATTCCAAAAAATCTGCTTAATAGTGCCTGTGTTCCAGTAATGGATGATGTGTTCATTAATGTTTAATTCAGCTTAAGCAGCCAGAGAGGTTTGCTGGTTTGTTTATTTGCTGCTGTGGGTATCTGGGATATCTTTTGTATGGGACACATAGGGGATTTGCTGTCTTTTTTTTTTTTTTAATTCCCCAGCTACATAAGCAATTCAAGTGCTACTGCTACAGCTAAACTAGTTCCTGATGCCTTAATACATGCAAGATCAGTGCTATTACTAGTGCTGAAGTTCAGGAGATGCATTTTCAGATTTTAGGGGGTTTTAAACAGTTGTCTGCATTCCTGGCATACTTCCCGTAGCGTGGTGCAGCGTTTGGTGCACAGCAGGATAACAACCAAAGGCTGTGACTCCCTTATGCAAATTGATTTGCTCTTATGACACTAATCAAGCATTGAACAACTGAACATGGTAGTGCTTTGCAAAGTGATGAACTGCACTGCTGTTGGAAAAACAAAAGCACAAATGTAAACACTTGATAATTACAGAATCAGAATGGGTTTCAGGAGAGCTTTGAGTATGCAAAATGGAGCATCCAGGGATAGTCTCCATTTCCAGGGGAATCTAAATGTCAAAGCAGGCAGCAGTCAGTTCTTTCTGGTGAAAGTAATTTGTAAGAGCATGACCTAGTCCTATTCTGGTGTGTGCTGTATTAAAGTCACTGAATTGCTGATGTCAATAAATAATGAGCATTCTTTAAGTATTTTAATTAGGTTGCAGAAAATATGCCATAAAGGATCCCATATAGTCCAAATGTGTGTATGTAAAACAACATATTGGTGTTGAATGGATATGTAGTAGGAATTATGTGTTGGAGGGATGCAATTACAGCCACTGATACTGCATTTATTTTCAGGGCTGTTCTGCATCTTTTAAGCCCAGGAAGGTCCCCTTTCAGCTTAGGCCAACAGAATTCAAAGGACTGTAAGGGTGCTGCACAAGGTGTAAGGTGCAACAGGTTGAGTATTCCTGCAATAAAGAGATTTCCAGGCTAGTGATGAAGGTGCCAAGAACAGTTGTTGCCTTTCTTTGCTTCTGTGTCAATACGATGTCACATAGCTGAGTCTGGACTTTCTGCCTTGTTCATGGTGCTTCTTGACATAGTGTGGTTTTGCTTTTTCCTCCATGCTGCAGAATTTAGTCACTGACTCAGTATTTACTACTTGGATTTCTCTTTTGCTAATTTGGGAATTGTTTCTCAACAGCCTGTGTTGGGGTTTGCTCTCGCTACCAGTTTATCTGTGATGATGGCTGCTGCATTGACATCACGTTTGCGTGTGATGGTGTGAGACAGTGTCCTGATGGATCAGACGAGACTTTCTGCCAGAATCGTAAGTGTGCCAGGCCACAGTGGCACAGCAGACTGTGAAAGTAACCACAGCCTCAATCACCAAAGGGGGACAATGCCGCTTCTGTGGCCTCTCTCCCTGTGAGCAAGCAGTTTGCTCCTGGCCTTTCATTGGAATTAGCACATGGGAAGGTTTAATATCTGCATACTCAGGTGCTCAGAAATTTTCTTCAAAGCATATTAAAACTCTCAAGGGTCTCTAAGTGTCAGGTTTGGTGTTCAGCAGTTAAAAGATCAGTTTTGCACTTGCATGATGATTCTGGAAACAAGTGCTGTGGTGTCTGTCTGAAAGAGTGTCTCAGAGGTGCCCTTCATAGTGCTGTTACCCTTCACAGTGCTGTTAGACACCCTGCAAGAATCTGGAGCACTGTGGACATGCAAGGGAACTGGTTGATTCACCATCATGCTGTTTGTTCTCGTTAGTCATCCCTCAGCATGTGCCCATGCTCAGCTAAGTGAACAAAAACCATCAGAGGGTCAATGGGCACAATGGCTAACCACTCTTCCATTATATTTTAGTTGCTGGATTTCACTGTAGGGGTCATGAGTGTACTCTTGCAAGCAAGTAAGTGTTAGGTATCTGTGACTCACATTTTATCATATGTGTGAACCTGAGGAAGTTGTTTACTCTGCCCCAAGGCCCATCTTGGACAGTCTTCCTTAAGAACACTTCCATTCCCTTCAATGTTGTAGAAAAATTTTGGTTTCTGTTAACAGTCAGCTCGGGTCGGAAGACGGTGACACATGCAGCTCTTGGCACTACCCAGCAAAGGACTGCAGGACTGACTGAAAACACAGAGGAGAACTCTGCAGAGAACACCCTGAAAGCCACTGCCAGAAATCAGCCACTTCTCTCAGTGGATGCAGACATGTCTAACCAATCGCTTTCTCAGGGACCAAAGAAACAAATCAGTGGATTTGTGCCAGGTAAGATTTGAATAAGTTTCAATAAATCCTTCTCCTTAAAGAAAGGAAGTGTCTTGCACCTTAAATTTAATTTAATTGTCTTTTGGTTCCTGGCTAAGAGGAAAAAAATTTCAAACATAAATAAATACAAAAGAAACCTGTAATAATGAAGTTCTAAGTAGGTTTTAATTTATTATTGTCAAGTCTGTTTTTTACCAGGTGGAAAATGAAGTTAAAATGTAGGAATGCTAGGAAAGTAATACACTCTAAAGAACAGAATGTGCAGTGAACTAAATAAAAAGTCTGCCACAGGTTCAGCTGTGTAGGCTGATATATTAAGGCTCTTTAAATCTGTAGGGGAGTACTTCAGGAGAACATAATAAGATACTGTTCAACTTGGGTGAAAGTAATTGCTTTTCTCCTGGTGCCAAGCATTACTTTTTTTTTTTTTTTTTTTTTTTTTCCTGAACTAGTATCTTTTACTATTATGGGCATTGTTTTTTTCTGAACTCTGTCTCCAGGGCAGGAGAAGTGTTTCATCACTGTAGAAAAGGAAAAGTCTTAGGCGTTGATAACAAGCTACTCAGGTGTCAGTGTACATGTCCCCGGTATTGTTCTGCACAGTGGCTGCGAGCCTGTAGTGAGTCACTGTGTTACAGGCAGAGCCCCAACCCTGGCCTTGGTAAAGCTCCAGAAGCTGCAGTGAAATTGATGTGTCTTTTAAGGTTCATGATGATGAATTAAAATGATCTGAAATGGCAATTATATGAAAACAAAACTGTGCACACAGAGCCTAAAATCAATACCCACCCACCCCACCCCCCTTTTATTTCTTCATGGTTTAGACTGATTCATGTGCCCCAAGACACAGCTATTTATAACCAGCTTAGTTTTCCAGTTACAACAGAGCAGTGCTCAGTGCCCTCTGCTGTCAACTCTGGAAAAGGGCATGCCCTGGTTGGCACCTGGACGTTCCTTCAAGTTGCTTGTACTTCCTCTGTGAAGTACAGAAGTGAAAACTCTGCAAAGGGAGTGAAAACAATGTTCTCAAGAATTTGATGGCATCAGTGAATGTGTGGGGAATGATAGCAAAATCCTGTCCCAAATGTTTTCCCCTTTTCTGGCAGTGTAGCTGACCTCTAGATGACTCCTCACTGCTGACTAAAATTCTGAAGTCTGCTTCAAACCTTTCTCACCCAGTCTTGAGTGACACCTGATATGGGACCACCCAAACTAAACATCAAACTTCCAAAGGGCTTTGCAGACTCTGGTAGGAAGTCAGCTGCTAAGTAGGTCTCAAAAATCATTTGGCTTGTGAATCCAGGCATAAAACCAGAACTGAGGTCACCACCTTCAGCAACTGGTAATCAAGGGTTGTAACTGGATGTACAATGCAGAAGCATTTTTGCATAGCCATTTTCTGTGTTTACCTATTGCACAGTAACTTACTTGCACCAGTTTTGCTCTAAAAGTAGCCTTTAGCACAGCAGTACACAAGCAAAGAAAAAGATTTTTAGAAAACTTAGGAAGTGTAATGGGGCTTCAGTGATTAGTGTACTACCAGTACCTGTTCTAATCTTCTAATTTTCAACAGGCAAGATTTCAAGCTGTTTTAATTCTTGTGGGTTTAATATTTTTCTTTTGACAAGGCTCAGTCAAAATTTCATTTTAGATGCTTAATAATTTTCCTGTGGAATAGAAGGATCCAATCTTTACTGACCTAGGAGCCCAATACTTCTAACTAAAAAAAGCAGCAAATAGCTCAGTGAGGTTTAAAATCACCTATGGATCAATTCCAGTTAGGGTGCATGGGGTGGGACATGAAGAGTGCTAGTTACATGCAAGGTACATGGGTCTGAAGGGCAGCTGCCAAAAACTGCTCTGCCAAAACCTGCTCTGAGCTGCTGTCTTCTCCTGCAACTACTGAAACTTCACAGAGTCCCATGCTGTGCATTTATGATTCACAGAGGTCCAGAGAGAGACTCAAGTCTTGCCCCACTGAGAAGCATCTCAGTCTTTATGGAGTTGAAGAGACAAGCATCTAACCTATTCCTTAAAATCCACTCAGATCCATTAATTAGACTTCCCTCCATCATTGCCATTTCAGGGAGGTTACAGACCAAATCTAATAATTATGTGGTACAAAAATGAGAGGCACAGAAATGCTGGAGTAGCTCCATGAAGCTCATCTGGAAATGTGTCCAGTAGGGCAGTAATGCTAGTGCATTTTTGAGGAGAGGTAATCAATGCTGAGCAGGAATCATACCAGCAGTCTCAGAAGTTCAACAATGCCTCTGGCAGAAATGCTGTTCTGGGGGGGATTGTCTCCTGCTGCTCATGTCCAGGTAGAACCTCTGCCTCTGAATCACTGTAGAGGTCTTTCTTGGACCAAGGCAGTCATGTTCTTGTTGGCCTGGAGCTGACATTGTGAACATCCAGGCTTCTTATATACCATTTTACATAAATTTTGAAAATAAGCTTTAGAGTTTTAATGTCACTATGGTGAAAAGCTGTCTACTTACGATACAGATTAGAGGATATGGCTTTACACTGGCAGCACAGGTTCTGGCTTTTCACTTGCAAGTGAAAAATTCAGGGCCACATTTTTCTTAATTCTCAGCTGACAGTTTCAGATCATCATGGAAATACAAGGAAAACGTAATGCTCTTAAATCCAGTGACTGGAAGGCAGAGGAAGTTAAGGTTTATATCTGCTGGAGACAGCATGTGGCACATTCCAGCCAGCTGCTAGACTTGATGCTTCATACAGGAGCTTTCAGTTGATTTTTAAAGAAGTTTTCCCCAAGATATTGTAGGACTGGAGAGTTCCTTTGTTTTCTTTTTTTCATTTGTTTTTTTCATTAGTGGTAGCTAAAGTATCAGTAAAGGCCTGTCCCTTCTGCTACTTACCTCTCCATAAATAGCTTTCATCTCTTGAGAATTCAATAAAGATGTCTAATAAAGGGACTTCCTTGTCAAGTATGACCATATTTATCTTTCCTCCTTTTCTTCAGAGGAGCTGGGCTAAGTTATAATGTTTTGGACTGTGAGATAGTTCTCGGTAGCAGATACAGTTTTCTATCTATGTGGGTGATACTAGAGGAGCTTTTTTCCAGAATCCATTTTCTCTTAATAGTTTTTCTGTTCCAAATTTCCTTTAACCTTCCTTACAGTGGCCCTTCATTCTTAGCTCCGACTTGATACAAACTTTAAGGATTTACACTGAAGTATCAGCGATCAGAGGAAAATATGCAAGTCCAAGTTTAGGACTGTTTAAAACTTCTGCTTGGCCTAACAGGGAATCTATTCACAGTAAAGAGAAAAAAACTACAACCAACCAAAACAGAACCCAAAAATCATTGATTGTTTACAATGGGTAAATATTGTTTTGCACTCGTGCCTTTTCAGTGGATTCCTCTACAGCAGGTCAAGTCCAGGGGAACACCAAGTCTGACTTTGAAATAACCCCCTCAGATACTCAGGGCACTGAGTCTTCTGCAACAGGAGGTCTACTTTAGCCCAAGCTGAAAGGCCAAACATATTCTTTCAAAGTCAGGAGTGGATGGAGGAAGAGGCATTTGATGTCAATAAAAGAGTCCTTTCTCTCTCTGCAGACATGTCTCCATGGTAGTAAAGTTACCCAGGCTGCATCTCCTGAAAAGGCCAGCACAGCATTTCTGCATGTCTGCCTCCAGATAGCCCCAGTCTCCTTCTCCAGGGAAATTCTAAAGCCCAGCTGCATATTCTGGCACTCCTGAACTTGCAGATGAATATAGAAAACACTCAGTAGCAGCACAGCACTCTGGCTGAGCAGTGGGCTGGTTTCTAAGCAGCAGGGGCCAGTAGCAAACAGGGTCATGCAGATGGGTTGAATTCACGTGCAGCCTGAAAATTTGCACTCTCCAGCACAGCCAACCCAAGTGTATAAATCACCATAACAGCTTTGTGTTCCCCTGGCACAGGGTCTCTGCCTCTCCCAGGCTGCCCGTGCAGTGCTGTTCAGGGCTGGGATTACAACATTTGACTGAGTGCCCAAGCCTTAGTCATGTTTTTACTGTGGAGGCACCCATAGCAGTAGCCGTAACCTAGATCTGTAATTAGGGTAAATGGAAAGGGCTGTAAATGGCAATTTTATCAGAACAGACTAGAAAATCAAGAGAAAGTGAAAATCAAATTAAACCCATGTAAAATGCTTTCTGCCAGGCTCCTAAACTTCTTTAGGGAAATTGCTCTTTGTGTTGTAGAGATAACAGATAAGATACTGAGCAGCATTGACTCTGATAGTCTCTCCAGGCGTGTAAGAACAGCCACAAGTCCTAGCAAAACCCTACAAGCTGTATTGAAAGGATTCTGTTCTTCTACACTTCCAAAAATTTCCCACTAAACTTCTCTCTGTATTTACCAAATTTCTTTACAAACAGTTGACTTAAAAATTCACTTTACTTAAATGGCAGGGAAACAAATTTCTAAAACAGGCATTTAGATGCAGGCTGGAGCAGCTCTTACAAAGAGCTGATGTCTTTTGGGTATTTTCAAAATAAAGACAAATATTAATTTAGTTTAATTCAGGAAAAACAGAAGCAGAAAACAGCTGCTGGTGTTGGTGTCAGTTACATTCAGGTGGTCTTGCACATCTCTGATACCATACTGGTATTTTAATTTGCTCTTAGGAATTTTTTAAGCCCACTTTACATGCCAGAACAACATCAGGAGCCCAGCTAGGAGAGGGCCATGGCTTGTTTCTACAGCATTCCACAGCAGTGAAGTTGGTGTTTATGCACCCCCAGCTAAAATGGCAGGGCAATGAAACAGCAGCCTGGGAGGCTGTGTTCTGCCTGGGAGTGGGGGCATTAGCATGGACTTTTATGTTAGTACCAAGGAAACAATTTAAGCTGTAATTAGCAGTTGTGTACATTTGCTGCTGCCACTGCCAGGGACACCTTCTGCAGCTCTTCAGAGCTGGTGGTGGTGGGTGAGACTTACACATAGTGCACGTTCCAAATTGACTTAAACACTTCCTTAGCACCCACCACTATATGTAATTCCAGTTACAACATTTCACATTCATATCCTACCCATCTTGTAGCATAGTGTGTTTCTGCTAGCTCTCCCACAGTTCTGAAGGCTGCCAGCAAATGTATCACAGCAGTCAAAGTGCCCTTGCTTTTGGTTGAGATGCATTGTGCTTTGGGAGGTAAAACTGAATTTAAATTTTAGCTTTAGTTTCATATTATTTCAAAAATTCAAGTTACACAATCAGAAGTTCTTAAACTGTTCTTTTGTTTGTTCTTTTCCCCCTATGTTTAAGTGCTTCACATTATTTAATACTAGTGTCCTGTGTGTGGATAAGGCTTCCTGAGTCACTGAACTGCAGTATTCATTCATCTTGCTTGATTTTGTGCAGATAACAGTTCCTCAGGGAAAAGAACAGATGATAAAAATGGGGATGGCATAATGATGCCAAAGAGAGATCAGGTTGGAGGTGGTCATCCAATCCCAGAAACAGGTAAGACCAATCATGTGAATGAATTTTGAATTACGTCAGGTTTCCAGTCAGGTGCTATAGATACAGATAAAGTAGTCAAGAACTGAATAATGTACTTACATATTCTGAACTGTCCCTAACATACAGTTAGTTTCATGATCATACAGTTTAGTTTCATAGTATGAGTTGTTCCAATGTTAGTAATTGGACTAACTAACTAACTAACTGATAGACTAGCTGTATTTTTAGAGAAAAAATCCAGGTTTTCTCTACCAGCATCTCGCTGTGCTAAATAAAATGTAATTTTTCTTAACCCCACTGTAGGTGCTGTGTTACCCTTAGCCTTAGGCTTGGCAATCACTGCTTTGCTGCTGCTTATGGTTGCTTGCAGACTGCGCTTAGTGAAACAGAAGCTCAAAAAAGCTCGGCCCATTACATCTGAAGAGTCTGATTACCTCATCAATGGGATGTATCTCTAAAAACTGGATTTGGGTCGGTTGTTTTCTCCCCTTTCTCCTGTGTCCATGAATCTCTGCCTCTATGAAAGGACCAAAATCCGTAGTTTATTTTCAAGTGTAGAAGAAGCCTATGAGATGAAGAACATACTCTTCCCCTTCGGTGATAATATAAAAAGTGGGTAGATGTCCTTGCTCAGAAAATAAGAAACATTCAGGCTCCAGAGAGTAGCTCCAGTTGATTGTTGTGCAGAAGACACTGCAAGGTGAGGAGACCCCAAACTGGTTGTGGGGTGCCCTTTCCCTCCTCACAGCAGTTGGGATCTCAGCCAGGGCTGAGTGCACCCCAGGGCCCAGGCACTGGAGCAGTCAAGGCTCCACAGCCCGGCTGTGTTGGCCAAGGTGTGGAGAGAAGCCTGTGCCACCTTGCTCTTCTCAGTGCTGCCACCACTGTGGGGACCAGGATGCTCCAGCCAACATGTTCCTTCACCATCCAGCAGAGACCAGTTGTGTTCTTTCCACCTGATGCACTGGGAGTATTGTCTTTAAAGAATGTATCTTGTTATGTTAATTAAAAGCAATTGCTATCCAAGCACCAGCTTTTGCAAAGAAAATTGGGATTTAAGGAAGAAGGTATCTTATTTTCACTCGGTTTAGACTTCTGTGCTGCTAGCAGACAGCCATGCTTGCTAAATGCAGAAATGAAAAAATGCACTCCTCAGCGGATGAGCTTGGACTTCCCAGTGCTCAACAGCAGTCATGTACTGCTGCCCAGAGAAGCTGTGGATGCCCCATCGCTGGCAATGTTCAAGGCCAGGCTGGATGGAGCCCCGAGCAACCTGGTCTAGTGGAAGGTGTCCCTGCCCATGGCAGCGGGGCTGGAGCTAAATGATCTTTAAGGTCCTTTCCAACCCAAACCCCTCTATGATTCCATGTGCAGTCCCAGAGTTGTGTCTCTCCCCAGAGCTCAGGGCTTGTTCAGCCTTTTCCACACCTAGCCCACCACTCGCCCACAGTGTGAGAATGCAGCACACAGCAGATTCTACTCAAGAGGCTGGAGTGTAGGATTCCTGCTGGTTATCCCATAGCTCCCTGCAAAGCTTGAAAGCTTCGGTGATCTGCCCTCACCCCAGAAAAATTCTCATAGAATTAGAGCAAGTAATTGATATGTGTGAGTGAACTGCAGATGTGTTACCAGTAAAATGTGTACAGTACATGTTATATATACATATATACACACACACTGTGCTGTCTGTCTTGTTTGGCTGTCCAAGGATGTCACATTCCTCATGGGTCTCAATAAAACCAGAGTCAAATGAGGCATGCATCATTTTGTATGTTGTCTTTTGTACTTCAGTAACTTTGAGTCAGCAAGAATATTGCCATGGTATACAAACAGTTCTTCAAGTAATTTGTTCTTGATTACTTTATGTAAAATAGATCTAATAAACCAATTCTATTCTTATATTTATTGCATTGTCTTTCGTTTCTATTGCCAGCTAAATTTTGTGCTACAAGACTCTATCATGAGAGCAGGCAGAAGTATATTATATTTCTCCTTTCTGTGAAACAGCCTTATAAGAAGCTGGAATGTGTATGGTGGGGGGAGTTGTTGAGATACTTATTTCAGGGAGACAGAGAAGGACAGAGCATCTACCTGTGTGACCTGTCTCTCGAGCAGTGCTTGAGCTGAGGAGGACAGTAGTTGTCAAGCTGGCTGTGCCAACCACTCAGGGAATGTGGTTGACAGTGTTCCTTGCTCATGCCACATGAGGCAAAGTCTGATTGTACTTCAGTGTTACAGTGGGCCCAGGACACCATCTGCTGATGCTCCCCATTTCCAGTTTGGGAGTACAGCCTCTCTTCCATGCCAGCCTGCAGCAGACATGGCAAATAGTGCAAGACCCAAAAGACCACATATTAAATACAGCCTCCTGGGGAAGATTCACTGCCCATTTGGTTGGGGTCTTATTTTCCATCATTGAAATCTGCATTGGGTTTTAAGTAAGTACCTAAATGTCCTTCACCACCTTACCAAAGCAGCAAGAAAATGGTCTTTTCTCTCTGTGCCCATGGTGCTCCTATCACCAAAACCCATTACCCTGGCACACAGCCAGCAGCAGGACAAAAGGTTTGGTTTTGTTCTGCCGGGCAGGTCAACAGCAAGATCTGGCACAAAGCACAAGCCAGCCAGTACAGCCGTGGTGCAAGAGGCTGCTCAGCTTTCCAGTCACTTTACCCAAGAGCAGGCTTTGTTTCTGTGCTGCTGCTAGTGGAATAAACCTTGACTGATTTTGCATATGACAGCTGAGAATGAATGCCTCCAAGCAGAGAGCAGCAGACAGCAAGTATGGTACAGGAGTCTGGCTAGTGCTGCGTTAGCTTTGCCACAGTTCCCAGGGACTCTTCTTTCTGGGAAAGGAGATGGTGGCAGTTGCTGCCCACTCCACAGCTGGAGTGAAATAAAATAGTTTTCACCTTACCAGAGAGCTTGGGGGCATTGTCAGCTGGATGGAGAGCAAGACAAAGTTAGCAAAGTAACAGATTGGCTTGGCAGCTCCTGCAATTAACACACACACACTGGTCTCAGTGCCATGTGTTTGCATTTAATAGCTTTCATGCTATTTGATTTTAAATAAGTCATACTGAACTACTGAGCTGGAGCACACCTGGGAGTAGCAGAAAATACTGTCACCATGCTCAGGATGCTTTTCCCTTTCTCCCCAGGCAGCTCCCAGCCACTGCCTCCTGCTGACACCACTTCTGTAGCCTTCCCAGCCACTCCCAAGGTTGGGGCTCTCCCTGTGATGTCAAAGATGTGCTCAGAGCTAGCCCATCTTCATGGCTGCATTGCCAAACTGCATTCCTGGCCTCTCATGCAGACCCCAGAGCTGGGGAGCTCTACACAATCACAGATCACAGAATATCCTGAGTCAAAAGGGACCTATGAGTGTTTATCCTGCAGCAGAAGTGAGACATTCTGTGTGAAAGTTGTCACTATTTCAAGTCTGTCAGGTCTGTTTTTCCTGTCCTAAACACTGACATTTGTCTATCTACCTATCTTTTAATATGCTATTCTTACCAGCAGTTTAGGTAAGCAGAGAATATTGACTACCCTGACTGCATAGGTCTGTGGATGTTGCTCCTCTGTGAGTTAGGAGAGGTTGTTAAAATTTGTCAGTGTATTTTAATGTTGATCAAGATTCTTATTTCAATTAGACTTTTTTTTTTAAACTCAGACAGCTAAAGGGTACAAAATACTTGAGAGTGGCAAACAATACTTACCTAGGTTTGATCCATATTTAGAAGTAAGGGTTTGGTTTTTTTTACCATAATATGGGCTGCTTTCTGCCCACTTTTGCAGGGGATCCTAGGCTGAACATCTCACTGCAATCATTCCATAGCACTGTAGGATAATAGCAGGGGCAGTTCCAAGAGCACATTTGCAAAACAAAAAGGCTGAAATAGGTCAGTGTGATGCTCCATTTGCTTTTCAAATCCTAGATAAAGCGTAAGAGTTTCAATCCCAAACTGCACAGCGCCAGTCAGAGGCATGAACCAATAGCAACACAAACACACCACCCCAAAACAAAGGGAGAGCCTTTCAAGTAAGCCCTAACAGAATCCACAGTCATGCATCACTGAGGTCTGTGCTGGCTGTTTTCATGTGCATCAGGAATTGGGATTTTTCAATTTCTAATGGTAAAAGCTAAATGAGTAAGAGCAAAAGGAAAAGCTAGAGAAGATTCAGAGAGCACTGGTGGGCATAAAGACCAGACAGAGGCAATGAAAAAGAGCCCATGACACAATCAGTCTGAGCTGAGTGACAGGGAAATATGCTGTAAATGAGGAATATTTAAAGGGGGAAAAAACACTGTAAAAGTAACTCTGCTCTGTATTTTTCAAGTATTAGTTACTTAAAACAACTAAAAAAGTGAGCTGCACTCAAGCCCTGAAATACAAACAATGAGAAATCTAGAACGACTGGATCAGCACGCTTCAGAAACAGGTTTTTAAATACACCTGCTAAAATTTTGATTTTTTGCAGTTAAAAGGGTCCTGACTGACAGTTATCAACCACTCATAAACCAATGAAAAGCGTATTTTGAGCAAGCTGGCAGAAACCAGACAAGGCAGAAAGGTTCGGTGAAGGACTGAGAGTCAGCACTTCCTTGGCCAACAGAAATGTATAATCCTGTTCTAAAGAGGGCAGAGCAAGACATTTTAACATAGTGCTTAAAACTAACAGATCCTAATGCATTAAAGAGATGCATTTAAGATTTCTACATTCAAACCAAATGACTGGACAACACAGATACAGAGGGAACAGGGAACTTGAATGAGTGCAGGACTGTGGAGGACTTGAAAGCAGGCAGCCCAGAGGAAGATTGGGCCCATAGGGAAAGCATCCCTGAAGGCTAATTCCATGCCCAAGGGATGACAATCCTGAGGCTGCCTCTATATCCAGAGGAGACGAGCTTCTCTAGAGCTCTGATCAGAGCAGTAGCAGGTGCTCTGAATCACCCATTTTCCTAACCAGAGGCGTTTGAGGATGTCCTCCTAGTCCATAAGGCACCTGCAATAAAAGTTACTGATTTATCTCAGATGCCACTTCTCCATTATAGCTGAAAAAGGATTTGGCAGAACATAGTAAACAAGAAACATGGACTGTTCATAGTATAAACACATAAATGCAAACATAAGCCCAAACATGGCTGAAAAAAGACTTTAGCTTCTCAGCAGCATTATGGAATGTTTTCAAGAGTATCTACCAGGTTAGTTGCTCAGAAGCGTGTGATGAAAATGGCTGGACTACAAAGAAACCTTAGAGAATTGAAGTGAGATTTTAGAGTAACTCCATCAACAGTCTTTGAAAATAGTCTGTTGTTACTAAAAAAGTTTTGCTAAGAGGCACAGGATTGTCTGAAATTCTAAGTTTGGTATAATGAGACACAGAATGAATTATTTTCATTTTTCCTTCCTGAATCTTTCAGGCAATTCTCAATGGGCAGCTGGATTTCCTCCACACATATTTCAGCAATAGCTATGTCCACTCAATTAGTAATTTAAAGAAATACAATTTTAGTTCCCAAGCACATCCTGCTGAGCCTCTCATTAACACCCTGCCAAGAGCATGAGAGAACAGAAACAGCCTTTCACAGGAAACTTCAGAGTGCATCAGCTGCATCATGAATTTGTGCTGTGTAAAAAAACTACTACCTGGAACAGAAAGCAGCCCTGTATGTCAAGGATGAAGTGTGGGAGTTAAATAGGCCAGCTAGAAGGAAGTTTACATCACCTCTGTCAGCATAAGGCCAAGTTTCAGTCCATGCTTATTTCCTCAGACCTGGCCAAGGCATGGAACCCCCAAACCTCGCCAGCTGGGGGGTCTGGGCACACAAGTGTGTGTTACTTGCAGTAAAGGCAAAGGGGGGTTATGATACCTTAAGAGTGTCTGTGCACTTAAACAACTGGTCTGCAGTTCACAACATTTCACAGTTAAAAGCAGATGGACAAAACTCAAATAGACCCAACAAAGGTAAAATGTATGAACTCATCAAACCAAATTCAACCCCATGCTCAAAGCCATCCATTGTATACCACAGTACTTAAACTCTAATTTACCCTTCCTGATCTATGAAGTCTGAACATCCTGAAATGCAAAAGACCAATTTCAGAGCTCATCATCTCCTGCATCCCCCTGTGCCATCTCTGGGGCAACATGTCCCCTCTGAATTTTTTTGTCAGGTTCTGCACAATGTGCTTGTGTGACCTCACCATCTGCCTTTTTTCTGAACCAG